CCGCTGCACCCAGCCTCCTCTTTGGTTTTGGTGTCGTGATGGCCTGACCTGTAATCCCAGCACTCTGGAGCAGCTGGGATTCGGGCGGACACCACCGTGCAGGCTTCTGTGGTACTATTTCAATTTCTTTGGTGGTTATAGCGCTAGGTGGGTTTTCTGTTTCTTCTTGAGCCAATTTTGTATTTTTTCTCATTTCTTTTTTGTGTTTTGAGATTTGTTATTCTTTTTAGACACAGGGTCTCACTCTGTTGCCCAGGCTGAAGGGCCGTGGTGTGATCACGGCTCACGGCACCCCCCGTCTGCTGAGCTCAAGTGATCCTCCCACCTCAGCCTCCCGAGTAGGTGGGACCACAGGTGTACATCACACACACATCGATCTTTAAAATTTTTGTAGAGACGGGGTATCCCGCCGGGCGCGGTGGCTCATGCCTATAATCCTAGCACTTTGGGAGGCTGAGGTGGGTGGATCACCTGAGGTCAGGAGTTCAAGACCAGCCTGGCCATCATGGTGAAAACCCATCTTTAAATAAAAAATAAAAAAAAAAGAGTTGGGGTCTGCCTGTGTTGCCCAGGCCGGTTCCAAACACCTGGGCTCAAGCAGTCCTCCCACTTCAGCCTCCCAAAGTGCTGGGATTACAGGCATAAACATCCCATGTGGCCGATTTTGTGTTTTTGTAGGAAGTTACCCACTCCAACTGAATTGCCATAATCTCATTTAAAATATCCTCTTAGAGTCAGCTAACTTCTGCAGCACGTGTGGCCGCTTCCCTCTGTTTTATTCCTGGAGACTTACCTCTTTTTTCTCGATGGATCCGGCCCGATGTTTTGTGTATGTTTTCTCAACCAAGTTTCTGTCATGTTTGTTTCCTATTTTACTAAATTCACTTTGTTTATGAAAGAGGAAAACCTATTTTGTTTTTTGTTTCGTTTTGAGACAAGGTCTTACCCTGTCATCCAGGCAAGAGTGCAGTGGCGGAATCTTGGCTCACCGCAGCCTCAGCCTCCCAGGTTCAAGCAATTCTCCTGCCTCGGCCTCCTGAGTCGCTGGGACTACAGGCACCCGCCACCACACCCGACTGATTTGTGTATTTTTAGTAGAGATGGGGTTTCACCTTGTTGGTCAGGCTGGTCTCAAACTCCTGACCACGTGATCCACCCGCCTCAGCCTCCCAAACTGCTGGTATCACAGGCGTGAACCACCATGCCCAGCTGTTTCTTTCTTTTCTTTTTGAGATGGAGTTTTGCCCTTGTTCCTCAGGTTGGAGTGCAATGGCATGATCTCGGCTCACTGCAACCTCCGCCTCCTGGGTTGAAGTGATTCTCCTGTCTCAGCCTCCTGAGTTGCTGGGATTACAGGCATGCACCACGACACCCGGCTAATTTTGCATTTTTAGTAGAGATGGGGTTTCGCTATGTTGCTCAGGCTGGTCTCCAACTCCTGACCTCAGGTGATCCACCCGCCTCGGCCTCCCAAAGTGCTGGGATGACAGGCGTGAGCCACTGTGCCCAGTTGTTTGTTTTGTTTTGAGAGGGAGTCTTGCTCTGTCATCCAGGCTGGAGTGCAGTGGCATGATCTCCGCTCACTGCAACCTCCGCCTCCCAGGTTCAAGCAATTCTCCTGCCTCAGCCTCTCGAGTAGCTGGGACTACAGGTGTGCGCCACCACGCCTGGCTTAGAGACGGGGTTTCACCGTGTAAGTCAGGATGGTCTCGATCTCCTGACCTCATGATCCACCCAGCTCGGCCTCCGAAAGTGCTGGGATTACGGGTGGCTCCCTCTCGCCTTCGTCCACAGCCCACTGCCCCTCATTCCCATTCCCATCTCCTCTCTCTCTGCGCTGTGCTCTGGATGATAGTTTCCTAAACTCTTTTTTTTTTTTTTAATAAAGATGGGGTTTCACCATGATGGCCAGGCTAGTCTTGAACTCCTGACCTCAGGTGATCCACCCACCTCGGCTCCCAAAGTGCCAGGATTACAAGCGTCAGCCACCGCACCCAGCCTCCTAAACTCTCAATTCTCTCTTTTTTTTTTTAGGAGATGGGGTCTTGCTTTGTTACCCAGGCTGGCTGGAGTGCAGTGGCACAATCATAGCTCACTGCAGCCTCAACCTCCTGGGCTCACGTGATGCTCCCCAGGGGCTGGGACCACAGGTGCACCAGTGTGGGAAGAAAGTCGCCCAGGTGCCAAGGCAGGAGACTGAAGGCACAATCTGTCCCAGAATAATAAATACCTGATTACTTTTAGCAATGATACCAAATATGTTTAGAAACAATCATAATTGCATAATGAATCTTATTAAATCGGTATTATTTATTATTAATCTTTGCTTTAGTATTATAGCATAAAGACGTTCTATTCTTATAGTATAGAAACAACCAGGTGACATCTAATTAGGAACCGAAGGGACATCTTGAGAAGCGATCATGAGACGAGAGAGAGCCTTGCGCCTGTTTCTCAGCAGGCAGGACTTGCGGCGGTGCCAGCGCCTGGGAAGGCGCCCGTTACGCAGCAGTTACTTAGCAGGCCGTGAAGGGGAGTTTCCCGTTCACTGGGGAGTTCAGAGAACATGCTGCTCTACTCGGCTCTTGAGGAAGGCCTGACACTAGCCAGGCCGGCCGCAGACATCCAGGGGCTTAAACACCTGTCCGTGGTGCTCCGACGGTCACCATCCTTGTCCACTTTCAGGTTCCGCTTTCCCACCTGGCTCTCCTTTTAAGTTCTTAGAAGTGGTGAGAAGTCAGAGTAGGGGAATCCTAAAAGCCTTTAACCTTTCTGATGAGTGTGTAGAAAAATGCTGACGTATGTGCCGCTCTCCCCAGCAGCAGCCCCCTGAGAGGGGCCCTGTACCGTAAGCACGTGATTGACGTGACCCTGTCAATCACGCCAGATGGGTCACTCTCCGGCCCTGCCCCTGCCTTGTATACAATAAATGTCAGCGTGTCCAGGCATTCGGGGCCACTGCTGGACTCTGCCCCTTGGTGGCAGTGGTCCCCTAGCCCAGCTGAATTCCTCTCCTATCTCTGTGTCTTGTGTCTTTCTTTCCTGTGATCTATCGTGTCCGCACACAAAAGAGCACCCACTAGACTCTGCAGGGCTGGACCCTGCCCACGAATTCCCTCCCCTCCCTTTTTTTTTTTAAAAAGACAGGGTCTTGCCACATTGCCCTAGCTGGCCACAAACTCCGGGGCTCAAGCCATCCTCCCACCTCAGCCTCCCAAAGTGCTGGGATTACAGGCCTGAGCCATTGCACCTGGCTTAGTGGTGAGATCTTGGCTCACTGCAACCTCTGCCTCCTGGGTTCAAGCAATTCTCCTGCCTCAGCCTCCCCAGTGGTTGGGATTATAGGTGCCCAACACCACACCCAGCTAATTTTTTTATTTTAGTAGAGACGGGGTTTCGCCAGGTTGTCCAGGCTGGTCTCAATCTCCTGACCTTGTGATCTGCCCACCTCAGCCTCCTGAAGTGCTGGGATTACAGGCGTGAGCTGCCACAGCCAGCAAGATCATGCTTTTTATGGAGTAAGAAACTATAAATACCATTCCTTGTTCGTATTTCCAGAAACCTCTTTTATTTCTGCAGATATATAAAACACTGTTATTTTATATTCTCTGATATTCCAGCATCTGTGTCTAGAACCTATCTGTTGCTTCTGCTGGGTCTCAGTGTACTCTTTCCTTGAAGTGTTTATGAATTTTTAAAACTGGATATCTCATTTTCTTTTTTTTTTTTTGTACAGATGGGGTCTCTCACTATGTTACCCAGGCTGGTCTCTTAACTCCTGGCCTCAAGTGCCAGAATTCCAGGCGTGAGCCACGGTGCCCGGCTGAGATGCCCCTTTTCCGTGGAACTTGGCCAACACGAAATCCTGAGGCCTGGTGTGGTTGTGTTCCTCTGGGGCAGATTCTCAGCCAGGGCACTTCTGCCCCCAGGGACACATTTTGATATCCTGAGACGTTTGTGGGCGACACAACTGTGTGTGCACATGCGTGGATGATCCTGCGCATGTTACTGGCACCTCGTGGACACAGGCCAGGGATGCTGCTCACATCCTGGACAGAGACTGGCTCACCAGCGTCACCAGGGCGGGCTCCAGGCAGGGTCTGCGTGTGCCTCTGCCAGCCGCCTGGACCCTGCCGGCAGGGGCCACTTTCCCTTCTCAGCGCGTGGCCTGTCGGAACACACACTAGCCTGATTTCAAGCTGTAAACTTGAAGGACCTATTTTTCTTCACCTTGCATGGAACCCCAAAGCTGAGAGGCAGTTTTTCCGGAGGTGCCAGCCTGTCTCACATTTCTGCTTTAGCTTCGGGGTCCAGCTCTCTGTGGGCGGTCTCCTGATGAGGTCACCCTGGGACAGACATGGTTGGGTCTCCTGCTTCCAGTCCTGTAAGGACGCCAGGATCCCCCAGGGCATGGCAGGCACCCTCAAAGACAGATGTGGGGAGGCCACGGCGGGCACACCCCAGCCTGCTGCTGATGGGGGGAGGGGCTTCTCTCTGCTGCTGCTGGCTCACCCACTGTGCAGCAGTCCACCTGGTGCTGGGGATGGGGGCACAGGCCTTTGGGAACCTCTGCCTTTCCGGCCCAGGAGGTCCAGGCCTGGCACCCTCATGTCCCCTGGAAAGCCCACTCCCATCCTCAGACGAGGAGGGCAGCTGCACGCTGGGTTGGCTTGGGCCCGTCTTGGGACACCCCTGGCAGGCTGGGTGCAGGGGGGAGGTGGCTCCATGGGGTTGCTGTGGGCAGGTGAATGTGGAGCTGGGTTCCAGAAGGGAGTTGCTGCACTGCCTGCCTGGACCCCTCCTCTGGGACAGCGCACCAAAGTACCCTGGACATGAGGGGTCCCTGCGCCCCACACACACTGACCCTGCACCGGGGTCCCTGCGCCCCCACACACACTGACCCTGCACCGGGGTCCCTGC